TTTCTACAACTGTTTAACAACTTTGATAGGTCATCCATATATATATATATATGGGAGACAAAATGCTTCCCTGCCTAACTCCATTACTCATTAAATGAGGCAAACATAGAGTTACCCCACTTCACATACAATGACTGATGAGCATACCAGAAGGCCAAGATTCTCACTAGATTTTCGGGAGCCCCTCTGTTAATTTGTAGAATAGCTTCTCATGATTTACCCTATCAAAGGCTAGAGGCATCAATAAAACACACATAAAAATGTGGAAATAGGCCTGTTATACAAATCTAAAACCTCCTTCAGGGCAAGGAGCTTGATAGCGTGTTTTTGCAGTTTTATTTGGACAGGATTTTGTTTTAAACACAGGAGGCAAAACTCTGGTTATAAAAATACCCGTGTCCATGTGGACAAGGCCTAAACTGCCAATTTCTCAAGTGGCACCTGGTCATAAACAAAGATAGGTAAAAGGAAAAAGGCTGATGACAATAAACAAGTGAAAAAGAAAGAATTAGGCAGAGATTTGCTGAAATAAATTTTGTATTTGTTGATTTATTATTAAACTTGTTGAATGTTTACCAGTTCCCGACTCCTTCTTCCCTGAACCCCGTTACAAATGTACTAACAAACCGTATCTAGTATTAGGCCAACATATTGAATAATTACTTGAATTATATTATATATGTTACATTAGTTGCTGTTATATTATCTTACTAGCTATTTATAAGTTACAGAAAGGGTGCAACGTTACATAGTTACATTACATGTATTGCAAAATAAGTAATGATTTGAGGACTAAGTCAGTGTAAAGCATATTGTTGATGTTTTCGTCCCTACTAGTGAATGTGCCGTAACTGTTTATCCGCCGTCATTTGTGGCCCTGCTGACTAGTCTGTGCGTTGGAGGGCTGTAGCGCAGCAGAGAGCAAGGGGTGGGACCTGTAAGTTGTGCTTGTTCAAATTTTCAGGCTAAGTCAACGTTTTCTCAAAACTCCCTACTGCAGCTTTAATAGATGCATAGATAGAAATATATAGACAGATTGGTTAAGATACATTTTTAAAGGTGCCATCTGTAAAAATTGAGGTTAAAATATCCCAAAAATGAGCTACACGTATCAAAAGAATGAGAAGAAATAAGGTTGATGATGTCATTAAAAAAATGACAAGTTACAGTGCTGTCGAGATATTAACCTGAATTAGCATGCTAAATTACTAGCCCTGGCCCGGCAGGTGTCGTAATACCAGTTTCGGCCATGGGAGGCGGTATGTGGGCAGGCAACGTTACCACCAGCCAAACTGATGTACACGAGTAAGTCGGCGGCTTGTGTGTACTTGATGTCAGTCGTGTGGAAAATACAGCCCATTACTACATTTCAGTTCAGGGAAGAGTTAAAAAAATATGATTGGTCGATATTATGCATGAGGAATACAATTTGGTAAGTTGTAACATACTGTATCTTTCATCAGTGTTCGTTTTCTTTTACCATTAGAGATGATCGGTTCACGTGCGTTAGGGATCTGTCGTGTAAAGCGCCAAAACTGGATTTATTGTTTGAATTGCGTAATAAAATTAACAGAATCTGAGAGCTGACATCGGTATCCGTGTCCTTTTCTGTGCATGACAAAATTGATGTGTGGCGTGAGAGTGTGTGAAAAGTGTTGTGAGAGTTGGCAGCTCTGAAAGACGCTAGCTTGGTCCACATCAGGGAATGTATCTGTCAAATTAATTAAAACTAATGATAAAAATATAATATGAACAAAACGAATATCATAAAACTAGAAATAATAGCCTGGGCTTTCATTTTCCCATATCGTCGAAATGCACCGACTTGTCTATGAGACGGCCTTTATAATTTAGTATTGAGATGTTGTTCATTTAGTCTCTAATCTGTAAAAATCTTCAAATGCTCCACGTGAAACTGCGGTCTTCCAACCTTTATACTATCGTGTCAATTGATTTGATTAATATGCACAAGGGAGACAGAGCAACACAGCGCTCGCCCGTGTTGTTTGAAGACATGAGAGTGCGCATGGCCGTGGAGGTATTTCTGGAGATATACTGCCCCCATCTGGTATGGAATATGGTGTATGATTTGATTTTAAATGCCAGAGGGCACCTTTAATGGCTAGCTATCAAAGTTGTTTCAGATCAACACCTGTAGATGTCACCGTTGAGATGGGTGTTGGATTGTTTCGAAGCCTCGACACAATATGGCACATTTGCTTCAACTGTTTCATTGTTTCACAAAGTCTCAATCTGCCAAGCACTACAATACACATATTTTAATGAAAGTTCTCCAAGTGGGATACAAGGACTGTCCTTTGTAAGGGACATTAAAGCGAGATCCCAACTCTCTCGTGGCCTCCTAATCCCCATCCACTACATTGGCTCTATCACTCTCTCTCCTCTCCGCCTATTGCTGGTGTGTGTGGTGAGCACACTGTCTACTGCTGTACTGTCATCCAATTGGATGCTGCACACTGGTGGTGGTTGAGGAGAAGCCCATGATATGATTTTAAAGTGCTTTGTGTTTTGTACAGCAGTAAATAGTAAAGTTAATTCACAATTAAAAATGTTAGTTTTGTATTTGGGTTAACAAATCTTTCTTACTTTGAGTCTTTTAGCTCTGCTTTTGTGAGCCCTTGAGCATTTGTAAAAATATTATTTTTTGTAATTTCTCCTTTCTATGGGTATTCCTTAACAGCACCAACCACCTCGAAATACTCTTAACCTATGAACTAAAACTTTCAACACTGTCAACATAATGTTCAACTTAACATTATAAAATTCATTTGTCCTATAACATTCCCCTATAAAATAAGATACAATGAGACATCTTGATTTTATTTTCACCTAAAACTGCAAATATAGGTGTAATAAGGTTCAGCGTGTGAGTGGAAGGAAGACGGGGGTCGTCAGTCCCAGTGTGACGGAAACCGCGCCACGAACTTCTCCACTACAACCAGCACCTTATCAATGACGTCGCTTCCATTGGCCCTTTGCGGCAGGAGTCCCAGAGCTTCTGTACCATGACGAAGGGCTGGCCAGACTCTTCGAGGCCCAGCATCCTGAACCTCTGAGATGTAGTTCCGGGGCGACCCACTGGAGGATGGCAAGCCTGAGGTCTTCATAGACCAAGAGATTCTGGACTGACAGTTGGTGTGCGGCCGGCCACCTGTGCCCCTCCGGACAGCAGAGGGATGAGCTGCCTTGGCCAGTCCACGGGGTGCCATCCCGGGCCTCAGCGGACCTCTCAAACAGATCCAGGAAGGCCTCTGGATCGTCCTGGGAGCCCATTTTGTTGAGAGGTAGGGGCGGGGCCAAGTCCGTAGCTGACTTTTGACGTCTTCTGTACCTACCATTAACTCATTCTCCAGAATCCTCTTCTGATCGCCTATGAAAAGGTATTCATTCCTTGGCTAATGGCATTACTGCCTCGGAATCAGAGAAATAGGTCCTCTGGTAAGTAAGTCAGGAGTAACATAACAAATAAAAAAAGAACTGATCAACTAAAAGACATTCAAAAAATCAAAACATGAAATAACATCACTTACATTTCGGCAGCAAACAAACACTTTCCCAAACAATTTTCAAGAATAGCCGCAAGCAGCATGTGGCAAATCACACCGGATATAAGACTACTTATACTACTTTCCTTTTTTTATAACAAACATGGGGTACTACTAGTGATCCCTAGTGGCTAGGATGAACATAGCCTCTAGAAAAGATAATATGCGCCTTGTAACCGGCTGTAACTGTTACAACATGACATGAATGAGGAAGTTCAAACGTGCTGCGTAACACGAGAATGAACTTCATTGGTTCTTTTGGAAGTTCAAACTTGCTGCATAACATGAGAATGAACCTCAATGGTTCTCGCACATCAAGTGAACATGCTTGAGCTTCCGTTTACCACAACTAATTTGTGAGTTGATGAATGTTTATATGTGAATAAAAGCCTACATAAAATTTGTTAAGGCTCATGTCTCTTCAAAACATTTGGACTAAAGCGCTCAATATGGATTTGTTTTACAAACTTGTTATGAACTTTAGAAACGTCAAAGTGGTAGTTGCATAGCTGTCAATGGAGGGACAAAAAATCCCTCATATTTCATTGAAAACATCTTTCTTTGTGTTCCACAGATTTTATGGGTTTGGAACGACATGAGGGCGAGTAATTAATGACAGAATTTCGTAGAACTAACACTTTAAGCTTTATGTTATGTTTGTCACTATTGCAAAATTCCTGATCCTTGATTTCACTGTGTGCATTCAAAAAAAAATTGATTTGATGTAATTTGATCTAACGTAATAATTTCGCAAGATGATCTTTTGAGACAAAATAAGTTTTGTTGAGTATAATAGCAATAGTTTTTCAATAACTGTCACACAAATTAAATGATAGTATATGTGAAGTAAATTGCCCACTAGCTGATAAGACTAAAGCCATATGTGGGGTCTTCCTCTAATGTTTGGACTGCAAACCATGCATGCATGGCCGGATTTACCATTGGGCTTGCCGGCTCAGCCCATGGGCCCCGCTCAATATGTAGCATATTGTTCTAGGAATGTCAAAGCATATTTTAATTTGTGTATGCATGCTATATACCACAGTAATAATTTTTCTGTCATTGCACATTATGGTGTCTGGCCAGTCTCATCTTTCTCTGAATGATCTTCTGCAACAGGTTTTCTTTCAGGTGAAGTCAGACTCTACTATAATGCCAGACATTAACCTGCAAGCTTTTTTTTCTTCTGATAGACCTAGCAACTCCTTATGATTTAGTTATTTACTTCTAAATTCCACTTAAAATGTGCTATTTCAAATTTGTTTGCTTTGAATATCGCGTTCCAGATTAATGCCCGCCCGGAATTTTGAGCAGTAGGCTATATGAATGTGATTGCATAACGCGATTGAGCGCTCATCTCCCGTTGGCTGCTCGTGCGCTTCTCAAAGTGGAGGGAAAGAGAGTGAGGGAGGGGGCTCGAGCTCGCGCTTCAATACACTACCATGTAACAGCCAAATATTCAGTCACGGAGGTTTACGGGAATTAAAACATATTATATCCTAATCGACGGGAATTTAAAAACAAACAAACAAACAGGTAGGTTCGGCTTGCTTTCTATAACAAATGCTTTGTCGTTATTCTTGTTCTTCAAATCAGAACAGTGTAGGCTACTAATGGCGTGACGTGCCATGCACGCATCATCAGCACACTGGATTAGTGTTTGTTTACTAAGCTTCTCGCCCCTACTCGAGTTCACCAGGTCCGCTGTTTAATGAATCATGCATATATATATATATTAAAATTCTTCACTTTTACCCAAGCCTTCACTAGAATAGATGGTGTTAAGCTGCTTTAACACTCTTACACAATCGCAGAGCAAGTCCATAAATTTTAATTAAGTTAGTTCATTATTAATGACACATGTGCGCTGTAGCCTATGTTATGCAATTGCAAGCTTTCGCTGGCTGCATATTTTGCTAGCGTTTTACTTGACGAATCCTGCTCGGTCCACCTCCTAAAGAGTGGGCTTAGGCCCACACTCGTTAAATAGATGTTTTTCTAAAGATTTTTTTTAAACAGCGCGCACAGCCAAGTTGTCCATCTGTAGGCTACTTAACCCCTCGAAGAAAACTTCGACTGTCGTTCAAAAGCAGACAAAAGGTTATTTAGAGATATTGTCGTATAGATTTAGGATATTTAGTCTCTAGCTGAGATCGAGGAACATGTGCAAGAAGTGTTGAATTAGTTAAAGGTTTGTTTTGGTTCGTGGGACTTTAAATGCTGGGATTCCTCCTGCAGCGTGGCGGGACGCACACACCCTCTCTGCTTTCCCAAAGCTTTTCAGGGCTTTTGTTAGGGACCCCAATGCATCTCACTGGCGACCGACCATAGGACCTTTTCTGCCATTGCAATTTAGATAAAACGCGCGCTTTACATGCAATTCGTCTGGATTTTTTGTATTTTAACTTGATCTTGCCTTTGATTTCTTTCAAGCTTAATTAAAATAGTGTGTACGTTGTATAATGTTATATAATAGGCTGTATTGTATAATATTACAATTGGTGTTTTGTTTCAGATGACTGCTCCCGACTGTTTTCTCAAAGTCATTAATTAATTTAATTATTTTTTATTTGAATGCATGCAGCAGATACATGTTGAGACCATAGCACACATGCTAATGTGTTGAGTGGATATGTATAATTTGTGCATGACTTCCTCTCATGTTGGCCTACAATGTCACATTTAAATGCCATGTGCAATTTTAAATTTGTTCTGTGTACAATACATGTCATTAAAGTCTGCTGTTCTTTTATATGGAGGATATAAGAATGCTATGCAATTTTAAAATTGGAGAGCAACCTTTTAACCTGATTGATAGCTTTGAATTGATCATATGAATCCATACATGACTGGCTTTTAAAAGAGGGAGTTCAGCTGAAGTTGACATTAACTTCTAGTCTTCAATGTTGTTAATCTATCTCATTATGATTAGGCCTACCTACCTAAGTTGTAAAGCTAGTTAGCTGTTATGTTTGAAATTTTCCCGAAAACCAGATATAACCAGTTGTTTACGGTGAGCATGTTTCTGCAAAGAGCTGATATTCATATGATGCCCTGCAGGTGTGTACAAGGTGTGTACATTCTGGTTTTCAGCTAACCCAAACATACAGACACACACAAAGCTTGCTCTTCTGCCTGATTGGTAATGTTTCCTGACAGAAGGGCCATTGACAAATTCAAAAGGCAGCCCTTAACTAATTTCCCTGTCAAGTATATAGGCACAAACATGAACAAACCCACTTTGTTATGTGGCTTACTAACAACACATTATTGTATTGGCTGTTTCAGGCACAAGCTAACATTCAGTCTGTTCTCATAAATGCATAATTAATTACATATTGACTCATTCTTATAGCTTCTGGAGTGTCTGCTTTGTATTAAATGTTTTTCCCTAATAAAACTGCAAGAGTTTACAGTGTATGTCATTTTATCATTGCGATTAGCACTTTAGTTTGTAAGTATAATCTGTTTCTCTGCGATCTCTACACATATGAATTACACACTTGATCTTGACGAAAGACTTGGATGCAGAATGTAAGACAACTTTACAGTTTAAAAGAATGTGCCAAACCGTAAAAGGGGCCCACAGCACATTACTCTTTGTTTTTGTGTTTATGTTACAGACTTTGCTCCTCCCATATGTTCTTCAGCTCCAGGACTCTAGAGCTGCTACTTATGAAATGCAAAAGAACTACTAATGTCTATGTGGTTGAGATGAGGCATTCTGGTGTGCCACACCTTCTCATTAAGCTCTGATATGATATATTTTTCTATCTCCACTGCAATAATCGTCAAAACCAGCTGTCACTTCTATCACGCAATTCTTAGACTTGTGTCGCAAGCTGTATTTACCACATTCCAAAAATGCCACAGTTGAAGAGGTAAACATTCAAAAATATATATAGCCCCTTGCTTTGTAGTGCCTTAAGTTAGGTGCCAAAATGACATTTGTGATAATGAAATCTACACTGAACAAAGAATCTCAGAACAGGAAATGTAGATTATTTCTGAAATCCTATTTTTTTAAGGTCGAAAAGGAATTTTTGCTACACATTTTATATTTAATCCATGGTATTTGCTTTTGCTGAAGCCGTCAGAACATATTATTTTCAGCTTGAAAGCGGAATTCTTGGTAAAAAAAAATTACCCATGATGCTTTATAGAAAATTACACCAATCACAGAGTTGAAAAAAGCAAAACATCCCAAAATTTTTTTATTTTTAGCTCCGCCCACTCCCATGAAACACTCATTTAATAATGTAATATAGAGCCGATCTTGCTACGGTTTCAAAATACTTATGTTTGTAAATAATATAGCCTATATGTGTGTGTGCATAATATATATATATATATATATATATATATATATATATGCATAGTATAATAAACCAACCCTCATTATTGAATTTAAGTATTGAAATTAAGAGTTTGTTGAATGAGAATTTTGTATTTCTCCATGATTTTTTTTTTTTTTTATCATTTATGCTGTTCGTAATGCTTCGTGGATTAATAACTCTTTCCCTCACTAAAGCTGTTACACAGTCTTCTTTGTCTTTTTGTATGATTTTCAGACATGTTTTGCTTCAAATCAAAGTGTTTAGTGTTGTGATTCACCTCGTAGCTGATTGGCTTGGTTCATGGCTTATAACCTCTTTAACAAAGACTTTGTTTTATAAACCCCTATTGGAAAAATGAATGGGAAAAAAATACTTCCGGAATCAGCACTGACGCAAAAGGAAAACTATTACTCTTTAGTGTCACATGATCCTTCAGAAATCATTCTAATATGCTGATTTGATGTTCAAGAAACATATATTACATTATAAATGTTCAACATTTTTGTAGAAACTTTGATACATCTCTTTCTTGATTCTTGCCTGATGAGCATATAAAAACTCGTAGCTCACTCATGAGTCCAAAAAGCTGTGATAACTGGACAAAAAGCAGTCATACATTATCGTTTACGACTCATAGCCAAGTTAATACGTACACGTTTAGATAGTATGTGATTGGTATATTTAAAAAAAAAACACATATACTATAATTTCTTCCATAGGATGGCATTCCCTGTAGATATTTTGACAAATGTGGATCACGAGTTCTTAGAGCTGGCAGCCGAGGAATACATGTCTCAGATCCTCTACAGAAATCCTGACACAGCGGAGTACTTCAGACTACCTGATTCCAAACAGGTAAGATGCGAGGTGCTATCTATAATGTCTGCATGCTTTCCCTTATATAAAAGTTTCATATTATTGCTGAATATATTTTTGCATTTTCTTTTTTTTTCTTGATGGCAATAAACAACAATTCTTATATGAATGTGGCTTAAAAACATTTTCACATTTTCATGTTCTCTTGGTGACAGATAGAGATTGGCCTCTGCAATGTAAGTTTTGTCCCTCTATATGGAACAGATACTAAAAAGAAGCTCCTTGCATTGTTCTTACCTGATGACTTTACCACAGGTATTATGGTCAGAAGTTATGAAAATCGGAATCATTTGTAACATATTGTGATGTTAATGCTGTATATTTTACCACACTTATTACATTATACCTGCAGTTGTTGGGCTTTATTTGTTGGGCCAATGGTGGGGAGTTGAAGATGTTCTTAAAACAGCAGAGCCCTCAAGAACGGGCCTGATCAAGGTCAGTGTTTTCTCTTTTTTTATGTCAGTAATGCTTATTTTGAATTAGTTGAATAATATTTTATAGCTACTACAAGACTAGTGCCATGCTTATCATAGGTCAACACTCTTGGGGAGAGGATAGTCCTATATGTTCTCAACAGAATTGTGTTGAGAAATGAGAAAAGCAGTGAAGATGTTTCCTTTCTCTGCCATTGTGAGCATGAAAGTGCAAAAATACTATGGAAGGATGGAGAGGCCATTGGCTTTTACTCATACAAACCCAAAGGTAATGACAGTTCCTTCAAAGCCTATACACTTCCAGACCTTACTTGTTGTTTTTACAAACCCCCTGTCATATTACTCTTTACTTACAGGTAGCTTGTGCAGAAACTTCTTGACCCAGTGCTATCAACTTCCTGTCATGGACACAATATTTGTCAGGAAGTGTCACCGGGGCAAGGGTCATGGCGTAGAGATTCTGGAAGACTTTATTGGTAGCTTCAGAAAGGAGTATATAGGGTTGAAGTTTCCTCTTTCTGAAGCTATTTATAAAGGTATAGAAACAGACTTACTTTATGTCTAATGTCATCTTTGCTCACATAACAGATATTATTCTGTTTTCTATGGTCTGTATCTCCAAACTCTTTCTTTACAGTTTGTGAGAAGTACTTCAGTATACATCCAGCAGACAAAGAGATTCTGTGGGAAGTAGAGAAAATAGGAAGCCCTTTCCAGAGAACTCTAATTGCAAACAGGCTACAGAAGTTGAAGCTAAAAGGTAAGGAAAATATCTGTATTTTTAGTTTCAATGATATGTAAATAAAGAAACAAACAATACATTGACTTCCAAAGCCATTTTCGTCTATTTAGTGCTTTTGTCTGACACATTGATGTCTTTGAATCACGTTAGGGCCAATCCCAATTCTACCCCTTACCCCTTCCCTTTCCCCTAGCCCTACCCCTTCGCCTTCCCCTTGACCCTTGAAACAGAGTGGCAATGCGTAGGGGTGAAAATATTCCCCTAAGAAATGGGACACCACTACGCCTCCGTTAAACGTCATTATAAGTCGTCGCTAGCGCTTACGTCACAGGATATGCGCCGATGTTTATCACAACTTCCAAGATGCCGTCGACAGCTGCAGTTATCTCAGTCGCGTGGGTTACAGCTATTTTCTTGCATCTTGTGAAGTTCGCAGGAGACAACGGAGATGACGAAAATATGTTGCGGGACTGTCGTTAGCAAACTACAGTAATTTTAGCGATTTTTTTACAAACGTTTCTGTGAAGAAACTGACCGTAAATATGAACACAATATTGAATGTAACATAAAGCAAATCCTTATTTGTCGTTATAATACTTATTAAAGCCACAAATACTTACATTTATGGGTCTCCTTTGTCGCTTGGGCAGCCAGCCTGGGTTAGCAGTGACACTTCTCATACCCCTTCGTTTGAAGTGTGCTCCCGAAAAATCTTCGTTTGAAGGGCTATCTGGCCCTTCACCCTAGCCCTCCCCCTCCAACCAAAAGAGAATTGGGACAGCCCTACCCCTTCACGTGGACGCGCAAAACGGAGGGGAAGGGGAAAGTGAAGGGGTAAGGGGTAGAATTGGGATTGGCCCTAAATCTGGTGGCTTTACTCTGAAAAAATTTATATTTGCGATTACTTGTAATAATACATTTTTTAAATGAATTAATTAGCATATCATGCATTTAATCTGATAATTTTAATGGATTGCAGCCCTAATAATGTCGTTCTTTATTAGCAGAGAAGGACCAGGTTGTGAGCAAACTGAAATTTGACGAAGATGCTGTCATTTCTCCAATGCAAATCGAGATGACTAAGGTTCAGGAAACCATTGAATACACAGTGGAGATAGTGGTAAATGAATTTCTGATTCTGTTACCTTTGTATTAATTAACTGTGTGTTGACAGAAAATAGATTTAGTTCAAAATCTTTTTTTTTTGGCAAATTCAAAACAATTGAACATGATTAACAATGTTCAATTCAGCAATTAAGCAGCTCTGAAGAAAACAATCATCCAGTCAGTTCTGATCTGATAGTGTCAATTCAGTCAAGTCAGTAATATTGCTGACAGTTAAGTGTCCCCAACTAAGCAAGCTAAAGTGGCAAGGAACCCAAACTCCATCCGGTGACAGAATGGAGTAGAAAAAAACCTTGGGAGAAACTGGGCTCAGACGGGGGACTAGACCTCCTCTGGCCAAATGAACGCACATGGTGTGATTGTGATACCAGGCTGCATCACAAGTCTGATTGTGTAAGCGATATCATTCAGGATATTTTATCCAGTTCCTTCTGCTGGATACATCACGCCGGCATATGCAAATTAAATTCATCAACTCACAAAATTAGTAGGCAACTGATTTCATTTTTAAAATTTTGATTATTCTATAAACGTCAAGATGGATGCATATTTAAAATAACACCGAATCTTTAAATCCATATTGAATCTGTCAATTGAAATAATTCTTATATCTAGTTTTGATATTAATTTTAGGAGGAGACCATTACAGACATCACCAAAGGCAAGTATAATCTTTTTGTTTAACAATAATTTGTTCAATAAAGACTCTCCTGTCTAATATAACTGAAGTTCTTCACTGTTACAGAAGTAGATGACGTACCAGTCTCAAGGCGTGGCAGAGGTAGCAGCCTGAAACGCAGAGGTATCAGAGAAAATTCAGAGGAGAGGCTTTCAAAGAACATCAGGTATCATATTACTTGTCAGCAGAATACCATAACAGTATTAAATACTACATTGTGTACAATTAACTATGTCTCTCAAAGGGTGGAAGACATTGAGGCAGGAGTTGAAAGTCCAATTGAGGTGGCAACTGAGGAACATCTTGATGATACTTTTACTGTAAAAGAATCAGAAACTGTACTCAGGGTATGAATTCAACCAAATAAACCTATGGCTCATGTTTTATAATTACTAAACAGCTTGAACAGTATTATTATTGTTGTTTAATTAAAATGTAATTTATTCCAATCTTTTACACTTTCCGTACAGTAATTAACATCCATCTTCTCTAATTTGGCAGAGTACAACAGGCACAGTAACTGCAACTGTCACAAACATATCAGAGCTTAGAAGTTCACAGAAAGAGGAGGAACATGAAATTGAAAAAGACACAGCTACATCAGAGGGGACTCCAGTCACCCACCTCACCACAGCTGGGGAAATAGAGAGCCAGAGAGGCAGTGAAGAGGAATGTGAAATTGTCAATGTGGAGCACACTGTTGTAAAACAAGGAGCCACTATTGGGTCTATTGACCAAAACCAACTTCAGTCTGTGGTGGATATAGAAATTGTAAAGATGAGTACAGGAACTGAAGAGGAACAAAATGAGAATTTAGAAAAGAACAAAGAGGTTGAGGAAGATAAACTTGTGTGTGAGACAGAGGAGGAGGAAATAAAAATGCTGGATGAACCTGAAGAGGAAAAGGCTATGAGTGGGACCGTTGAAATGTACAACAATAAAAAAGCTGTTGAAGAGGTGACAGATCAATCAGAGACTCTTGCTAACAAAGCAGAATCAGAATCTGAGGTTGAGGAATACAGAGAAAAAGAAGAGCTTACAGTGGATTCTACTATGGATGCTGAAATCTCACAGGGGGAAACTGTAGATGTAGTTTGTGAAATTTCAGAAATAGACCAAGAAGCACCACAACAGTCATCTGTAGAGTCTGCTGAGGTACATAAATGGAAAACAACACCTGAAGAGGACCAGAAGACAGTCGAAAATAGCTCTATGATGTTGACATTGAGTGAAGCCAAAGTTGTGCTTGTAGATTTGCATAAAGTTTCTCCTGAAGAGGCGAGTGATTATTACAGAGAGATTGCTGAACAAGATGAAATGAAGCACACAATGTCATCTGAGCAACAAGCAGCTGAAGTAATTATGATAATGGAGGAACAAGATGGTACATTGGACATAACAAAAGGAAATAATGTAGGGACTGATGCCAAAAGAACTCCAGAACAAGCAACTGGATACAAAGAACAAGAGGGTGAGCCAGAAACAGAAACCATAGAAGTTGTTGTTCTAAGCCAAGTTGAGAAACCAGAGGAGGAAACAAATACTGAACAAGCTAAAGAGGATGCACAAAAGAAAGGATCTACCGACACCCCAAGTAGATCAACAAATCGTGGAGATCAAACTGTTGACCCTAGCGTGACGGTTAGATGTCTCAGAAGCACTTTGAAACAAATAAAGATCGCACCTGTTAGGAGATCTACACGTAGCAAAGCAGCGATTCAGCAGGTAGAATGTGTTGAGCCACAACACAAGGCAAAATTAAGGACTGATGAGAGGGATGAAGTTATTGCAGAGGATGTAGGTCCAGAGGAGAGTGACAAGGCAAACACAAATGTTGATGAAACAATGGTTATTGAATCTGGAAGTGTTGAACTGCTGAAAGCTACAGAAGAGAAAACACCTCAGATTACAGAGTCTACTGAGGGAGACATCCTCCTTGTGGAAGCAGAACCTGATGAGGATGTAAAAGAAAAAGTTAAAGAAATCAAAAAGATTGACTATAAGGAAGCGAATTTAGCTGGACAAACAAACAGTGACATAGAGATGAGCAGTCTTGCTCAGGAGACAGATGTCCAGGAAGAGGAGGTACCAGTCAGCACAGAGAGAAATCTCAGACGTAGAACAATAAAAGTTCAGTCAACACTGAGAAGGAAATCTAGACGTGTGCAAGAAGCTGAAGCAGATGTTGAACATCAGGAAAGACACACAGTGGTGACCAAGAATAAAACTGAAGCAATCCCAATGACAAAAGAGACAGTTGAAGAAATTGATCAAGAGGTCAACAAGATGGAAAACAAGGAAGCAAAATTAGCTGAGTTGGAGCCAGTGGAAGAAACAGACATGATTCGAAATGAAGATGAAAAAACTTCAGCATCAACAGAAGAGATTGTGAATGTCTGTTTACCAATTATTACAACAGAGACCAGTTTTGAAAGTCTTGATGATATGGCAAACTCAAACACTGTTGATACTGAGAAATCTGATATACTGATGAGTGTAGAAATAGATCAAGAAAAAGAACTTGATGAGGAGACAGAGATAGAGGATGGTACTCCAGTAATAAACTTACAAAAGGCCACAGTAGTACTTGTAGATTTGAAAAAACTTTCCCAAAATACAGAAGAGGTTGGGACTCCAGAAGTCTTAAAACATTCCCAACTGGAGGAACAACTGGAACTGGATAAACCAGATAAAAATGCAGATCTGTGCAACCTGGCATCAGAAGAGGAGGAACAAAAAGAAGAAATACAAACAGAGGAAGACACTGAAATTATCCCTGAGGAAGAAAAAATAGAGGAAGAAAACACAGTTGAAGAGCAGGAAAAACTTGATGAACAAGACATTACATTTGAGGAGCAAAAGCCAATAGAAGATTTGGCCACAATGCCAGCTAAGAACAACCTGGTGGAAAGCACTCAAAAAGACATCAACCAGAATGAGGATGAAGGAGTGAGCAGTCTTACTGAAAAAACTGAAATAGTCCAAATAACAGAAAAGAGTGCTGACAAAGTGGATCAAGGTGCAGAAAAAGAGAGAGAGAAAGCACCTCAAAAATCAACTGTTGAGGCTACTGAGAATGTCATCCCATATGTAGAAGTCGAACCCAAAGAGGCTGTAGTAGGAAAAAAAGCTAAAGAAATTAACAAAATGGAAAACAAAGAAACAAATTTAGTTGTGACAAAGGACACATGTGATGAGACACCTGAGATGGGAGAAGAAGCCAATTTAGAGCAAGAGAAAAATGAATCATTGTTTAAAAACGAGAAAGAAAAAGCTGAGACAGAAAAACCCATGGAGATGGACCCAGTGGTTAGTTTGGAGCAAACAAATGCAAGGATCACAAGGAGAAGTCTTAGGCTCAGTGCAAAATCAGTCACATCTACACAGAATACCAGAAAATCTACACGTCTCCACAAGGCAGAGTTGGAACCAGTAAAAGAAGCAGATATGAGTAGAAATGAATATGGAGAAACCTCAGCAACAACAGAAAGGACTGTGGATGTGGGTATACCCATAATTACAGTAGAGACCAACTTGGAAAGTCCTGATGAAATACCAAACACAAATGTTGAGAAAACTTCAGCTGTTGGACCTGAGATGTCTGTACTGCTGATGGGTGTAGAAACAGACAATGAAAAGGAGGCATCTAAGATTGTAGAAGCCGTCACACTTGTTGAAGAAGAACTTGATGAAAAGGGAGAGAAAGATGATGTTACTCCAATAATACAGCTGCAAAAAGCCACAGTAGTACTTGTAGATTTAAACAACCTTTCCCAAAGCACAGAAGGAGAGAGTGACACTCCAAAAGTCTTAACAAATTCCCAGACAGATGAACAACTGGAACAACTGGAACTGGATGAACCAGATAAAAGTGACTATCAACTACATATCCAGACATCCGAACATAAGGAACAGCAAGAAGAACTACAAAAAGAGGAAAATACGGAAAAGACCCCTGTGGAAGAAGAGGACAAAATGGAGGAAGAAAACACCGCTAAAGAGCAGAACAAACTTGATGAACAAATCATAACATTTGAGCAGAAGAAACTTACAGAAGTTGTAGATGGACAAAATTATATAAAGGAGACAGAGATTGTAGAGGACTGTAAGGTAGTCATAGATGAGGATGTGGAAGAAACTGTAACATCTAAAGAACATCCAGAACAAACAACAATGGCAGACAAGGCTAATATAATTAAGGAGACACAAAATTATCAAGATGTTGCTTTAAAAGAGAAACAAACAGACAGTGAGGTAGAGATGAGCAGTCTTGCTCAGGAGACAGATGTCCAGGAAGAGGAGGTGCCAGTCAGCACAGAGAGAAATCTCAGACGTCGAACAATAAAAGTTCAGTCTCAACCAAGAAGGAAATCTAGACGTGTACAAAACCAAGAAGCTGAAGCAGATGTTGAACATCAGGAAAGACACACAGTGGTGACCAAGAATAAAACTGAAGCAATCCCAATGACAAAAGAGACAGTTGAAGAAATTGATCAAGAGGTCAACAAGATGGAAAACAAGGAAGCAAAATTAGCTGAGTTGGAGCCAGTGGAAGAAACAGACATGATTCGAAATGAAGATGAAAAAACTTCAGCATCAACAGAAGAGATTGTGAATGTCTGTTTACCAATTATTACAACAGAGACCAGTTTTGAAAGTCTTGATGATATGGCAAACTCAAACACTGTGGAAACTGCAGCTGTTGATACTGAGAAATCTGATATACTGATGAGTGTAGAAATAGATCAAGAAAAAGAACCTGATGAGGAGACAGAGATAGAGGATGGTACTCCAGTAATAAACTTACAAAAGGCCACAGTAGTACTTGTAGATTTCAACAAAATTTCCCAAAATACAGAAGGAGAGAGTGACACTCCAAAAGTCTTAAGAAATTCCCCGACAGAGGAACAACTGGAACTGGATGAACCATATAAAAGTGAATATCAACTACGTATTCAGACATCCGAACATAAGGAACAGCAAGAAGAACTACAAAAAGAGGAAAATATGGAAAAGATCCCTGTGGAAGAAGAGGACAAAATGGAGGAAGAAAACACCGCTAAAGAGCAGAACAAATTTGATGAACAAATCATAACATTTGAGCAGAAGAAACTTACAGAAGTTGTCAAAGGACAAAATGATATAAAGGAGACAGAGATTGTAGAGGAATGTATGGCAGTCATAGATGAGGATGTGGTAGAAACTGTAACATCTAAAGAACACCCAGAAGCAGCAACAATGGCAAACAAGGCTAATATAATTAAGGAGACACAAAATTATCAAGATGTTGCTTTAAAAGAGAAACAAACAGACAGTGAGGTAGAGATGAGCAGTCTTGCTCAGGAGGCACCAGAAGCTGTCCAGGTAAACTTAGAAGAGGAGGTGCCAGTCAGCACAGAGAGAAGTCTCAGACGTAGAAAAATAAAAGTTCAGTCTCCACCAAGAAGGAAATCTAGACGTGTACAAAACCAAGAAGCTGAAGCAGATGTTGAACATCAGGAAAGACACACCGAGAATAAAACTGAAGCAATCTCAATGACAGATGAGACAGTTGAAGAAATTGATCAAGAGGTCAACATGAAGAACGATGAAACATGTTTAGCTGAACTGGAGCCAGTGGAAGAGGATACTGAGAATGTTGTCCCACTTGTAGAAGGAGAACCTGATGCTACTGCAGAAAAGGGATTTGAAGAAATCGACAAGATGGAGAACAAGGAACAAAGCTTAGAGAACGATCCGGCTCCTGAGATGGGAAGAGAAGAAGCCAATTTAGAGCAACATGAAAATGAGTCATTGGTTTCAGTGGTTTGCAAGGAGCAAACATACCTTATAGAGGAGACCACCAGTCAAGTAGAGGAGGTCTCACAGATGAAAATCTCTGAAACCAATGACAATAAAACCGAAAGAATCACAAGGAGAAGTCTGAGGATCAGTGCACAGCCAGCCACATCTACACAGAAGACCAGAACATCTACACGTCCCCACACAGAAGAGTTGGAACCAGTGAAAGAAGCAGATAGAAGTCGAAATGAAGAAACCTCATCAACGACAGTAGAGACTGTGAGTGTCTGTGTACCAATTATTGCAGTAGAGACCAACATGGAAAGTCTTAATGATGATGTAGATATGGTTTTCATGAGCAGAAATGTGGAAACTACTTCATATGAGCAAGAGAAAGACATATCAAATGATAAGGGAAAGGTAGATGAAGCTTTGCTTGACAAATCAACAAATGAACAAGAAGATGAGACCAAGAGCTCAATTAAAACAATTGAAAATGAAATTCTGCTGGAAATGGATAAAACACAAAAAGATGTAGAGGGGGGAGTTCAAGATGAAGAAAAAAAAGAGCCTCAACAAGAAAACGCAGACCAGAAACCAGAGGAGAATACTCAACAGAAGGGAGAAGATGAAGCAAGAACAAGCTCAGTAGAAGAAGAAGCAGTGTCAAAGGAGGAAAGCTCTGATCAAGAGGCATCCTTCATTACAAGAAGAAGTCTCAGATACCGGACAGTAACAGTCCAGTCTACACCAAGAAGAAAATCAAATCGCCTCCACAGACAAGAGGTGGCGTCAGAAAAAGAAACAATGGGCAACATATGTGGAAATGAAAATGACTCAGCAATACAGAAATCAGCGGATGATTTAAATATCGAGAAGGAGAACGAGGCATTAAATGCGGAGGAGAGCATTACGGAATTTGAAAATTTAAAGACAAAAGAGGGAGAAGGCATTATTCAGGTAAATATGGAAGGAAAGGCAGAGGAAAAAGGGACAAAAGATGATACTGTAAAAGAAGGAAATGAAATCCTCTTTGAAATCAATGAAAGTAACAGTGCCTGCCCAGACAACACTGAGCAGGACAAGACTCGAGAGGAAAATCTTGAGAGAGATGTACAGGCGCCTAAAGAACTGGAGGAGGAAGAAGTCTCTAGTGTACAGGCGGAAAAGAAACCAGTCCTGGAAAAAGAAACTGAGGGAGCAGTGCAAGGAAGTTCTTTTGATTTGGAGGAAACAACTGTGGAAAGGAGAACCCTGAGAAAAAGATTGACTGTTAAAACGGCTGCTCCAAGAAAATCCAAACGTCTTCGCAAACAAGAGCATGATGAGGATAGCGAGCAAGTCAAAGAAGTTATACAACAAACTGAGACAGTAGAAGTGACATTTACAACAGAGAATGTAGAGCCGACCTCAGATGTACCTGCAGCAGCTTTTGAGGGCAGTAATTTGGGTGGAGGAACACAACAGAAAATCCAGGAGAATGCAGAAGGGACTAAATCAGATGGAGATTGTAATATACATGAAGACACCAAGACAGATGCAGGTGAATCTCAAAAGGAGCATAAAGAGAAAAGAGTAAATAAACCTAAGACAGATGAGGATAACGACGAGGTTATGGAGCAAAATAGCAGGAAAGTAGAAGAGATAGGTGAATTGGAGGAAGTGATAGATCAACATGTGGAGGCAGAAGAGCAAAAGGGTGAGTCCAGTACAAATGAGGGCTTCACTTTAGAGTTGGAGGTAGAGGAAACACCTGATCAAGAAGAAAACAAAGCAGAAGAGGACAGCAGAGTGGCCACGGATGCCGCAAAAGACATCATATTCACATCTGCAGAAAAATCTGATGAAGGTGAAGAAAATGAGAAAGGTCTCCCCATTGAAAAGCATGTTCTTCAGAGTAGCTCAAGTATATCTTCAAGCAGACGGAGATCAATGAGACTGCAAATGCATGAATCTAGAAAAGGAGATGAATCCGATTCCGAGGAGTCAGAAGAACAACAAACAGCGAAACAGAGGAAAAGAAAAGCCATAACTGACTTGACACCTGCACGCAGATCAAAACGCTACAGGGCAAAAATTGTTTAGCAGATTTGTGGGTCTTGTATTAATTAATACAGACCGCCTATGCATTGTATAATGCACTTATTATTTGAATTATATAACTACCAATTATATAATGTGAAGTTTTCTATAACATTTTCAAAGTCATGGAAAATAATTTTTTAATGAAGTATTGGGGATTTTATAAAAGTTTCTTGAAATTCGGATTTACTGGATTTGAAATAAGTATAACTTTTTAGTTGGTAATGTCTAAGTATATCTTTAAGTTAGACAGTTATTGTTTCTTTTTACATTTTTATTCTATATTGTGCTTTGCAAATTAATTATAGAGGTAGTTTTTAATGTAACACTATTTTTATATATTCCACAGTAATTCATCCAGAAAAAAACAACTAAATGAATTCACATGCTACAATCCTCTACCTTCTGTTCTTGACAGGATACTACATTAAATATGGTTCCTCATTTTAAACGGGCAAGACTTGTTTTGTGTGAAATTTATTCCAATGTGCAGTATGTGCTTCCATAACATATAGTGTACCTTTCTAGGTGAGTTTGTGACACGTTTTGATTGCAGTGTACCAAATTACAGAGAATCTGCCACAACTGCCCTTGTTTGTATTGCCAAGGAAATTATATTAGTCTTTTTGTGAACCTCAAAGCAATATATTTTGTCCTTTTATCATCTTCATCTCTTTTAAATAGCAAATGTTTGTGAATGTGTAATGCTAAATGTTTGTTAAAGGTTGTTTATTTTACACTCAATTCTGTTTATGTTGCTTAACGTTTCACTTTTGAATATTACAATGCAAAAATAATTTACTTTTTTTCTTTTTACCTCTGTGGTTGTCCTGTGAAAACATTTTCCTGAACTGTGATTTGTCAGCTAATTTGACTTAAATGTTTGAATAAAGTCATAAATTACCTGAGGTCATTTCATTTTATTGTGTCAATTGTGTGTTGAAATCCCATGCGATCCTACAGTACATAAAACAAGCAGTTTTCAAGGAAAGCCAGAGAAAGCCAGCAGTTTTCCAGACTTTCAAGGAAAGTCAGTTTTTCACATACTTAGAGTATTTGTTTGATTTTTTTATACATCCAAATGCAAAGTAACTCATTTAAAAACTACACATGAAACATCTTATACAATAGTTCCAAAAAGTTACTTTTAACAGCATGATGTTGAACTTTAATATATTTTACACACAACAAGCAAAGTAACATCTTCAAACGAATGATGCATACTTGTATTCTTATTTGTCCAATTAGGTTAAAACAAAAAAGATAATATGGTCCCAAGATGATTTTTAGAAGTCAATTTCTTCAATTCACTCAGCTGTTTTGTAAGTGGTCACAGGTATTTGAATTATCACTTTAACCAGAACATGTCCAGCTTTCCTTTTATCTAAATCTTAACAGTTTATAGCTTGTTGTAATTTTTGTTTTATATTATAATAAGCACTTTTTTGCCTTTTTGTTTGTATGTTTGCCTTAAAAGAACTTGTGCAAATTTTGTAAACAACAAAAACATCAACATACATTTTAAGAAATGGATTCATCTAGTCAAGTGCATGAATGTTTGAAGTGAACTGATCATCTAGTGCAGGAATGTTTGAACTTTTATTTTGAAATGTGATTAATACTGCCCGGAAACACTCACGCACAAACCACACACCGTTCTTTTAATGTCTATGCGTTTCTTTATTTTTGTCTTCAAACTTTAATGTTTTAAAAGTAAAGGCTAAAGCTGTCGCTTGTGTCAGAGACATGGCTGCATTTTTTAAATCAATTCAAGTGTTAGCAAATATGCATTGATTTTTTTGAGAAAAGAAACATGTAGCTAGCACATGTAGACTCGAAATCAGCTGTGTTGACCTGTGAACTCGAGAGAACTAAAACGCAATCAAGGTAAAAAAACTGAATACATTTACATGATATGCAAAATTATTTTTCCAAGCGTGATTCTGCTATTGCAGTAATATTTGCAGGCTTTACCTTGCTGAATGTAATGTTCAGGGAGGATGCAGTGTTTGAAACTGCCCATCAGTGTGACAGTGGAGATCAATCTGCTGCTGGTGGCAGTGACTGCACTTGCGCTCGTGACCAGACTAAATGGAATTCACTTTCCTAAAGCTGTAGTGTAAGTCTGCGTTTAATCATTGTTTATTTAAACATACATTTTTATTTATTTAAATAAAGTCACCCATGTATGTCATGTTTGTGTACTGCTAAAGGTTTGATGAAGTTTATTATGGACAGTTCCTGTCTCTGTACATGAAGCAAGTGTTTTTTATTGATGAGAGTGGTCCACCTTTTGGCCACATGATACTTGCTTTTGGAGGTGAGAAAATTGTTGATACTTTATAAATCACATTGATGAATAAAACACTTAATGCATATTAACTAACGTGTATTATTTATCTGTGTAGGATATTTAGGAGGATTTGATGGCAACTTTGTTTGGAACAGAATTGGAGCAGGTGATCATATTTTACAGCTTTATGTTGGGTTGACAAAGCCAACCAGTTGTTCGTGTGCAGATCTGTCAGTTTTCTTTTTTTTTAGTGTCACCCATGTGGCCTAGGTCCCTTGGTGGATTGACTCTGCCTAGTTGACTAAAATGCATATTTGAGCTGTCTTAATTGAAAGCAACTTGCACTGACATATCTTGCATTTCAAAGCCATTCAAATAATCATTATTGATGAACAAAGTCATATACACTGTACTTTGTTTTAATATTGAATGAACAATGAAACATTAGATGGCATTTTAATGCATTTATTTACTCATTTACACACACAGACACAGGTTTTCATGTTTTATGGAGAAAACATGGAAACGTAATGATTTTTTTTACATAATGATGATGGACGTAATGATTTTGATCTCCTAAACCTACCTGTCACAGAAAACTTTCTGTTGTTTAGATTTTCAAAAAAGATCTTCTGATTTATAAGTTTGGTTATTTTAATTGAGTTAGTTTTTAAAAATAGAATTAAATAATTTCAAGTCATCCTGTGGCCCCTGGTTGAGAACCATAGCATGAAACTATAGAATCTAACTTCTAGAATCTACTGCCTTGCAATGTTCTAGGAACCAACCAGAGCACCTTAGTGAACTACATCAAGTTTCAAATCTCAAAGTATTCAAACTACACGACACACTAACACTTATACTGTATAACCTTTAAACTGCATGAGCGTTCATTGTAAGGCTTTGTCAAGACGCCATTTGAACTTTCCCTTTATTTTGTACTTTACACTTTTTTTTCCAGGCAAGTCATTAAGAACAAGTTCTTATTTACAATGTCGGCCTGACTAGTGGAATTGTTTTTAACGTGTTACACTGTCATACATTTACACAGGCTTAAGTAATTTCATTACTCTTACTGATTATTATTGGGCCCCATTGTAGAATATACCAGTAATGTTCCTGTTTGGAGCCTTCGGATAATACCGGCCCTTGCTGGATCCTTTTGTATACCACTTGCTTATCTTCTAGTGGTGGAGCTGGGATATTCCCACTTCTCAGCATTGGGGGCCAGTGTGCTGCTCCTCATGGGTAACTACTTACCATATCATTTTCAAGTCATTGCATGAGGATGTTTTTTCCTTGAATGTGAGGTTAAATACTTTTGTTTCATTTTAACAGAAAATTCCATGATTGTGCAATCACGCTTCATGCTGCTGGAGTCTGTTTTAATATTTTTCTTACTGTTAGCTGTACTGTCTTACCTCCGCTTCCACAAAGCACGCAAGTAAGTGTTGTAGACTAATGTGATTTGACAGTCTCTGATCTGGATTGTCTTGTCAACGTCGTCCAGTGGCTGTAATGATGATGTCAAACTCAAGGTCATAAGTGTGTCATGTGATCTCTCTTCTTCCAGCTCATCTTTTAGATGGTTTTGGCTCGTGATCTGTGGGGTCAGTTGTGCAAATGGAATCGGGTACGTACAGTAAGATTACTTTTGTGAAGCACCACTCGCATTTTCTCCAGAAAGTGTGAAAATTTAGGTTGAACTTTCTCTGCGAGTGTCTTAAGGCGCTTTTCCACTGCATAGTACGGTACGGTTCGGCCCAGTACGCTTCGAATCGGCGCGGAACAGTTCGGCTCGCTTTGCGTTTCCACTGCAGTAGTACCCCTTCAAAAAAAAGTGTGTAGGACTGATCGTTATTTGCGCGCGCCTCTACTGCCATGACATCATCTTAAAAGCGCCACATTTTCAAACCCACAACACAGGAACAATGGAGACTATCGAGGGGATGGTGTTCCTGATTCTCGGTATGTGTTTTTTTTTTAACTGCTAGACGGAAAAATGTGTTTAAAATGAGGCTGATGGCAGCAAAACAAAAATACTGTTAAAAAAGTGTCTCGTGTCGCAAATCCAATGACGCTAGTAGTGACGATTCTGTCTGACCAATCAGTGATCTGCAGTGTTTCACGTCACATTTTAGTACCGGTACGGTACGCTTGGAACCTCAACAGAGCAGGTACCATTTAAAGCGTCCTGAAGCGAACCGTACTGTACCGTACCATGCAGTGGAAAAGCACCACAAGTGAGCCGTACCGAACCGTACCGTACTATGCAGTGGAAAAGCGCCATTATTTTTTCTGTGTCTTATTTTTCAGGGTTAAGTACATGGGTATATTCACATACTTGTTACTGCTAGGCCTGGCAGCTGTACACACCTGGCAACTTATTGGAGATCGAACCTTAAGCCATGTGAGTAATAGTAACCAAATATACACATCACTAAGGGTACAATGTTATGATTTTGCGATCTATGTCAAAAGGGCAGAGTAGTGGTCCAGGTTTTGGTTCGCTTCCTGGCCCTTGTGGTGTTACCCATCATCATGTACCTTGGATTTTTCTACGTCCATCTTACGCTGCTGTATCGCAGTGGACCACATGACCAGATGATGAGCAGTGCTTTTCAAGCAAGTCTAGAGGTACAGATAAAATTCCTGTATTAAGTGCACTACTGTTCGAAAGTTTGGGGTTCGGTAAGGTGTTTCAATGTCACATTTGACAAAATTGTTATGAAATGGAAGTTACAATACATAGTTCCCACATGACGTCACAACATACAGGCATTTGCCGACCTGGCACCATTGTTGTGGGCAGAACATTAGAAGAAGCAATACAAGTTAAAGCTCCGATATATAGCTTTATTTGGCCACAAGAGGGCACAGTTTCCAACAATAACAAAGGCGTATCTTTATGACGCAGTGACGAGCTGAATGATGGGACTTGCTGTCAGGCTGATGGATCTAATAATGTTTATGGATTAGTGAAAACACTCATGTTTTTTTAACATTACAGAGGTACGAAGCAGGTCACGATTGCTAATAAGAGACATATATCACACGCGAGTCCTGCGGATAAAAAGGAATAAGGAAATTTCATCCTATTGAACTACACGAAAATGCTGGATTACTCACAGGTCATTTTATTTGCCGAATTAAACTTGTGAGGGAAACGCAGCGCTGTTCCACTTGGTATAACGTTACACTATCACACTAATTGCCATTTAAATGTGTGTTGAAAGTTGTAATGTTATTCTACGTGTTAGTTCGTTTGCTGTACGAAACTAGCAGCTAGATCAACATAAGCATAACATACTGACCATATTCTAACATTTCATCATGTCAAGCTAACGTTATAACATTGTTTTGTTTTATGTACAAAACAATATGCTCATCTGTCTTATAAAGCTGTAAAGTCGTGACTCGTGAAGTTCTGTCAAGTCCAAGTTAGTCACAGACGCTAGCTCTCGGTCGAGTGGAAGTCAGTCTCGGACGCGATCGGCATCTCAGAAACGCCACGCTGATAGTGATCCTCATTTTAGTTCTTCTTGTTTGTCCCAAAGTCTGCTTGCCATGGTCTATGTTTGAACGAAACAAGAACTGAGTGCCGCTAAACGTTAC